TCTCTGCCTGCCTCTCAGTCTACTTGTGATCTCTCTCTGTCAAATAAATAAATAAAATCTTTAAAAAAAAATAAAATTATTATAGCTAGTCTTGAATTTAATTATATGTAACTGTTTAGAAGCTTGTTTGCAGGGCGCCTGGGTGGCTCACTGGGTTGAGCGACTGCCTTCAGCTCAGGTCGTGATTCTGGAGTCCCAAATCAGGTCCCACATCAGGCTCCCTGCTTGGCAGAGAGTCAGCTTCTCCCTCTGACCTTCCCCCACCTTGTGCTCTCTCTGATTCTTTCAAATAAATAAATTTTTTTTTTTAAGGGCATTTAAAAAAAGAAGCAGCTTGTTTGCCTTAATGTGGTTGGTATATTTAGGGAGTTTTTGGATATCTTCTTTATACCTTTAAATATTATAATTTGTAATAGTAAATGTGTATTACATGTGTAAACAGAAAATCTACCTCATCTTTTTCCTTGTAATATACCCACGTATAATTAATATAAAAACTACAGAGTTCTGACAGGAAGGTGAAATGTGCTGCCTTGAGTAGCCTGTCATTTAAAGATATTTTAGTAGTTGCCATGGGAATGTAGGAGATCGAACTACATCACCTTCAGGCCAGGTTGTTCTTTACTCGGTTTTTTTAGAATGGTGGTAAAATAAAAAATAAAAAAGAACTATAAAATAAGTAACTATTTGGTCTTTGTCCAAGTTCCTAAAACCCTTGGGGTTGTCTGAGTGATAGAAGTCTCTGTTGCTGTTTATAAGGAGCCCCTTTTGGCCACACCTGAGTTTAGGCTAAGGAGGTAACTTAGGGCCCCTGGAAAGCCTCGGGATGGGGCTGGTCTCCTGAAAGACCAAACAGGTGATTGGAGAACTTTACAGTCCCTCCTACCCACAGGCAGAGGGGATTGAGTTGTGTAAAACTTTTGAAAAGGCTCTGTGTAACCTCTGGATGTGATGAGCTTCTGGGCCGTTGGTTATATTGACGGCTACCCAGAGAAGACCTAGAAGCTTTGTATATTTCCTTCTCACCTCACCCTGTGCTTCACTGCCAAGTTGGCTCTTCCTGAGTTGTAAGGCGTGTAGTAAACTGGTAACAGTAAGTAAAGCATGTTCAGGATTCCATGAGTCATTGCAGCAAATCATCAACCCTAAGGGGGCGAGGAGTGGGGGGTGGGTCGGCATATGGGAACACCTGAGTTGATAACCAAGTTGCGCAGAAGTGCATGGGTAGTCTGAGCACTCCGGGCTTGACACTGGCCTCTGAAGCGAGGATCATAGTCTTGCGGGACTAGCCTCTTAACCTGTGGGGTCTAACACTACTTTCACGTGCAGTTAGTGTCAGGATTGAATTGAATTGTTGGACAGCCAATTGGGTCAAAAAGACACTACATATTTGTCATCAGAAAACATCACACAATTGTATACTTTCCTATTCCTGCAGTCAGATCACAGGCTCTTTAAAGATAAGACTATCCCATCCTTTGCAGCACGTAGCCTAGTGATTTGTGCATAGTACAGTAAACTCTGCACAAATGAAAGTGTTTTCTCTATTTAAGATTATGCCTTTGGATGCAAGGTTTTCATCAAGTAATAGAAGTATAGTTTATGTTAGAGCAGTTTTCTTTTAAAAATATTTATAAATTGATTTTGAAACCCATGGTTTGGGGGGGCTCTTAATGAAGACTTTCTAATTTTTTTTTAACCATAATCACAGAATTATACAACCATCATCACAGTAATTCACCCCTCAGAAAAACCCCTTACCCATTAAGCATCATTCCCCATTTTCCTCCAGTCTTCCCAGCATTAGGCAACCCCCAGGCTACTTTATGGATTTGTCTGTTCTGGATACTTAGTATAAATTAAATAATGCAATCTGTGACTAGCCTTTTTTTTCATTGCCAGGTAACATTTTTATTTATTCATTGGTCATTTGATGGACATTTGTGTTGTTTTTACGTTCTGACTCTTGTCAGTAATATCCAGTAGAAGGACTCCTGAAGGTTGAGTATCAGGACAAACAGTTACCATACTTCAGTTTTGTGGGAATGTCCTAATCTAGTTGGCCTGTGGGCCAGCTGCCTGTTTTTATTGGAACACAGCCACCCATACCCATTCATTTTCAGATGGTCCCTGGCTGCCTTCATGCAGCAGCTGCAGAGTTGAATAGTTGCTACAGAGACTGGCTCACAGTCTCTCTCCCTGGCCACCTCTGTTTTTGAAACATTAACTTCAAGAAGGATCCTTCATGTTTACTAAATAACCTTTTCTTGTTTTTGGGCAGGCAGAGAACATTTACAATGATGAAGATCCTGAAGGAAGCGTGGATCCAGAAGGACAAGGGTCCTAGATATGTCTGCACTTCTTGTGATTTTAGACTCCCCTTTTTTTCCCTCTCAACCCTGAGATTGATTTAACACTGGTTTTGAGACACAGACTTTGTTTGGCTATTCCTCTATGATAGGTACCATCAACGATGTTACTAGCCCAAACAGAGGGTGTTTTCTAAATATTAACTGGGGGACTTGATTCAGTAAAGCCACAGACTTATATTTAAATTTTCTTTAGGAATTTTCTAGTAACAAAGGTCTAAAGTAGCCACAGAAAGGGGAATATTGGGTGTGGTTATTTTTCTTCTTAGGCTATATCCCCAAGTTTTACAGACTCCTTTTAAGTAAAGGCTAAAGTGAGGAAGGATAGAGCCAAGTGAGGTAGGTGTCTGAGCCATGAAGTATAAATACCACAAGATGTTGTTTTTATTCAGGAAATGGGGGAGATTCAAGTCATATAAATTCCTATTCTAAAGTTTTCACACCTGACTTTCCAGGATGCACATTTCCCTATGTAGACCAGTCTCCTCTCAGTTTCTTCAGTTAAGTCAAAACTATGTGTTCCTCTTTCCCCATATATTTTTGCTTGTTAGTGTATTTCTTGAGCTGTTTTCATATTTCTTTCCTTTCTGTGAAATGGTTTTTTTAAAAAACTTGGGACCACCAAGTTGTAAAGATGTATGTTTTTACCTGACAGTCATACCACAGGTAGACTGTCCAGTTGAGTTGAGAAGAGTGAATTGATAGCTTGTATTTGTTTTTAAAATTAAATTAATCCTGGATAAGAGTTGCTTTTTTTTTTTTTTTTTTTTTTTTAGGAGTTAGTCCTTGACCACTAGTTTGGTACCATCTCTATTTTGGGTGACCTGTTTCACCAGCAGGCCTGTTACTCTCCATGACTAACTGTGTAAGTGCTTATAATGGAATAAATTGCTTTTCTACGTAACCCCATGCCGATGGTTTTTTTTTGGTATATAACATTCATCAAACACCAGTCTGGCTTCTCGAAGAGTTGTTCAGAGGACTGTTTTACTGTATATGGTCTTTGACTATCAAAAGCAGAATTAAATATAATAAACCCAGAGCGATAGAAGAGCTTCACTCCTTCCCAGGGAAAGTGCAAGGCATAAAACACTGAGCCAGAGGTACACGGATTAGTCTTTAACAACATAACATCTTTTTGAAGTCTGTCCCTAGAGAACTACATGGACTTCTAAGACTGTCAAAGGCAATGTGGCAGAGAGCATTTAAGGCAGACTTTAAATTTGGAAAAGGTGTTTGATTGAACCTTTTCCCGTAGAGAGGTTGAATCTCCCCAGTATGTTTTTCACTGGGGCCTGTATTTAGAAGTTAGAAATAATAGACTCTTGAAAGCCTTTATCACCAAGTGCCATAACCAGATAAAATGCCTGGCTCTTTGCCAGTCACTCAGTTTAAAAGAATACATCACTGACTGAAAATCATTTTCATGAGCACAGTCTTTGGGAAAATCTCAGTACCCTTAAACCTTTCAGTTCAAATCTAGATTGGTTTCTTTTTTCCAAGTCAGTAGTTCTTTTAGAGTGTAGTGAAAATTATCTTGACACAGGAGTAAACTGTATGAGTCCACACAGACTTAAACTTTGTTAGAAGAATTCATTTTAAAGTCTAACACTCGTGGCACAAAGGAATTCAAATTATAAACCCATATCATGAAAGTCAGCTGCCTTTTTTGACCCTACCTCCAAAAAAAGGTTTTTGTTTTGGGTCAACACAAGGCAAGATACATTCTTCACAACACTAAAGTGTGTCTGTCCGTACATCCATCCTTTACTCTGTGCATGTGGGAGTTGCTGCCAGAGGACAGAAGGCTCATTTTTCCATTCCTGCATGCACAGAGATTGGTACCAGCAGCCTATGAACTACACTCCACTTAAATCCTGACTGATGGCATTCTGCCTCCAGCCAGCCTTCAACTCTTTAAACAGGTCAGCCAGTATTTGTAACTTTCCCAGGGTGAACTGCTTGCCAAGTCCTTGGCACTCCCTTCTCTGGAAAAAAGTATGTCCAAAGGGTACTTAGTTATCCTTTGCTAAAAAGTTTTTTGCTGTTGTTTCTGGGTTACAGATTCGGCCATACGTTTCTAAACAGCCCCTGTAAAATTGAGAAAAGAAAAATAAGTTCATACTTGAGTCAACTTGAAATAATACAGTGTAAAGTTCATGACAATGAACTTCTGAAGTTTAGTTAGTGCTAAGTTGGGGAGAGATTGCTAGAGTGTAATTTACATAGGATTAGGGATGCATTTCTCCGTGCCAAATGCCTATTTGGGTGCCTCTTATTTGCAGAACTGAATGAATGGTAACCTGTGTGGTGGTGATGGGAGGGCCTAGCTAGAGATTTTCTCTGCCCAGGTTAACCTTACATGGGTATTAGAGTAACTGGGATTCTGTAGTTTGGTTTCTTAAGAGGAGTTGTTGCCCTTTCCCTATTGTACTTTTAATCTGATCCGCACAAAGGTGTTTGACATATCACTTTCCTCAATTACAAGGTTCTCTAATCTCCCAAACAAGCATAATCAGTCATGCCTGGATAAAACACGGTAAAAGAAAATGCTAGTAAGTTAGGAAAAGTATTGGTTAATAATTGTTATTTGTGAGTTTGTACCCAAGACACAAGATTAACTGGGAAATTAAGAATAAAACTTATGGGCATCTGTCTAGTATACAACTTGACCCAGACCTTTTTTCCTTAGTTTCTTTATCCGAGAGAATCCAGGACTTTATACAGAATATAAGAACATTAGTATATAAAGAAATTAATGGATAGGTGTATTGCTTGTTTCCTATATTAAGCAGTAATCCTGTCCCACAGGTTATGAACAACACCCACTTGAGCCTTTTTTATGACTTCCAGATTAATTTAGCCTTTTGGCCTCCTTTGTCATAGTCTGAATTAGGTAGCATAACTGTCTTCTCTGCTATTCTAAGGAAGCTATTTATGAATAGCAGATGGGGTAGGATAGGCCAAGGAAAGTAAGAATGCATAGAGCCCAGATGTGTCATCCTGTTACGAATTCCTGGCAATAATTAGAGCATATTTTGAGTCCTGCTAGAAACTGAAACGTTCCAAGTGACCCCTGAATGCTTAAACCAGGCAGTGTGGAGGTATGCGTTATTCCTACCTGACTTGTCATTTGACACACTCTAAGTTTTCTTAAGGCATTAGTATTGTTAGGAGCAGCAACAGTGCAGACACCACTCTTGTACCCTCAAGGATCACCTTGGGACTGAGTCTCTGTTCCACCTGCCTGAGAAGTGGGAGTGTTAGCCTGTCCCAGGCTCTTGGGTAGCATAGCCCTTTAAAAAAAGAGATCCGTTTTCCATCTGTCATGGGTGAGCACAATTCGAATATTGTCCCAAGCTGTTGTTCTGCTTTTCCCTGTTCAGTGAAATTTCCCCTGAGCAACACCTGCCCTCCCCACCATCCCCTCTGCCAGCGTCGGTTAAGAGCGGGGCGCCAGCGAGAACTGACTTATAGGTGGAGAGCTCTCCGGCGAGGCTGATCCGCAGCTGCTCCAGCTCTTTGTTCTTCTGCTGCTGGAGTTGCAGGCCGCTCCTCAACTGCCTCTGTCGCTCTTCCATTTCCTCCAGCTGTTCCTGCAGCGGGAAGGCCAAGAACGTCTAATGAGCAGAACAGTAAAACAACGGACACTGTCAGTTACAGTTGATAAAGCACTTTGTTAACATGGTTTAACCTTCACACCAGTGCTGAGGTTGAGAAACATGTTCAAAGAGGCGTTTGGACAGAGCGATCCTGTTTTTGCCGATGGGGACCTGACAGGAATCTCGTCTGTACCTGCAGAGGACTGTTTAATAGAATCCTGCAGAGGGTGGGTGGGTGCTCAGAGGATTTTTGTTTGTTTTGCAGTGTTAAGTGTGGGGGAGGATTTTGGTCCTCTCATCGGTGTGCTGAGAGTTTTATGGACCTCTGGCTCTGTGCACGTTTGTTTCTGTTAGGATAATCCTTTTTTATATCATCCTGCGACTTAAAACAATTTAACTTAAACCAAGTCTTTGGGCCCCCGGCTGGCTCAGTCTGTGGAACATGTGACTCTCGATCTCGGGGTTCTAAGTTCGAGCCCCGTGTTGGGCGTGGAGCTTACTTTAAAAAGACAAAAAGAAATCAATTCTTTGTAAGCAATTATTAACTAATTCCAGAAGAGTTCAACTACTAGAAGTCCAGTTGTTCACAGGAAAACAGTAAATACGAGTTTCGTATTTGAACCTCCTTGAACTCTAAGATAGCGCTACCTGGTACTTAACTGTAACATCCTATGCAAATAGGGGCTTTATTAGGATGTTGGCTGTCATAATTGTTAATTTCCTATATCCTGTACTCATTACACTACAAGACTGAATTCATTCCAAAGTGCTAAGTTGGAAGATGAAGAAGCAATGCCCTGGAGGCCCTCAGGAGCCTTAAGATAACTGTTTCCCATTCTGCCAAACCCAGACAGGATATGTTCTGTAAACTGTCTCTGCCTCGAATTAATGCCTGAGGAGTGAGGTAAGGAAGATGTCAGCAAGTCTGTCTCTGGCATAGTTGCTAGCTGGCGTGGATCCTTGGGAAGCATGAGGGAGACGGGAAGGGAAGGTTGAAGTCAGAACGTCTATTTTAAAGGAGTAATAACTTCACCTCAGATTTTGAAGAATAAGAAGATAGGAATCCAGTTTGGGTACATGCTGTTACTAGAAGGATCTAAATAATTGGTTCTCTGAGCCATCCTTGGTGGGCCTGTAGCACAGCAATCTGCGGCGTTTGATACTCGCTGAATCCCAACTTCCACCAACCTTATCGAAAGGCCTGTTTTTAGTGCCTTAGCCATACTCTGGCACCACATAGAGATGCAGCCGTACCATCTAAGCTGTCTTCTGAAGGGAAGCATCTGCATACCTCTGTGCCCCAATTTCCCAAGCCTCCCTGAGATCACCAGCAAACCTGTATTTTGGCGAGGCGTTAAAGTACACGCTTGGGAAGGCAATCTGTACCATGAGTGATAAATTGACAGGAACGATGTCACAGAAGGAAGTAAATATTGCCATAGTGACTGGCATTAAAGACATCCAGTCTCAATGCTGTGTAACACCAACTAGATTCGCTTTCCAAAAACTGCTTTATCATCTCAGTCTTTCAAAGGCTTTCCACCTCTTTAGTCTGGCATTCAGACCCCCTCTGGTTTGACCCCTACCTCTAACTGGAACAAATGTTATTCTTCCATACGAACTCTTTGCTCTATCCTGCACTGTGTTGGTATGGATGCCACTATGGGCCTCATGTGGCTCTCGAGTACTAGAAATAGGGTCTGTCACCTAGACAGCATCTGCTGTGTTGTCACTATCTTTTTTATTCATGTCTAACTCCCAGTCATATTGTAGGTTTCTGTCTTAGCACCCTACCCACAATGCTTGATGTGAAATATGTAGACAGTAGACATTCCATAGTTCAGTATAAGTGACCTCCCAATTTCAGCTAAAAACCTCGACAACATTCTCAGCAAGTTCCTCATACCACCTACCACACCAGTCACCAAATCCTACCCAAATATTTTACTTCACGTATCTTACATTATCTCTCCCTCATGAGTGGTCTTTCCAGGCTCTTTAATTCATCCCACACACTCTGTTTTTAAGAGCATGTACGGACGTATGTGCCAGGCACCATTGCAAGGGCTTCACAAACATTACCTAGCTCATCCACTGCACCAGCCCTGTGCTGTGTATTATTACTAATCCCCGTGCACATGTGAGGGACTGCAGTCACAGGTTAAGTAATTTGTCCAAAGTTACCCAGTTAGAAGTGGTAGAGCCAGGGGCGCCTGGCTGGCTCAGTGGGAAGAGCCGCTCAAGAGGCTCTTGATCTCAGGGTCATGAGTTTGAGCCCCATGTTGGGTATAGAGATTAGTGAAACAAAAAGAAGTGGTAGAGCCAGGATTTGCCACTGGCTTAGAGCTCATGCTCTACAGCTCACTTTGCTGCCATCCTATCTAATGGCTCGTCAGTGGTCCTCAAACTTCTCCCTGAAATCCCAGGAGGAGGCCATATTGAAGGGCCCTTGCCACAGAAAGTGGCTCCTTGCTTTTACCTTTCTATGTAAGATTCTGTTTGTGGAAAAGGGTCTGTGGCTTTGGAGAAAACCTTTTTTTGAAAACCACTGACTGAATACATAAAAAACCCTTTACCGTCTGGTCCCAGTCCACCTCTCCAGCCACATCTGTCTACTGCTTACATATGATTCAACTACATTGAGCTCACTTCCCTTAACAATGTCTTTTTGTCTTTCCACGCTTTTGTGTAAGCTGTTCCTCTCCCTGGAATGCCTTTCCCTTGTCTACCCAATGAATGTATTCAAGGCTCAGCTCAAACACCTTGTGAAGTTGAATGTGAACTTGAGCTAGATTGCACAAGGTCAGAATCCTTCCATCACTTCCTAGCCATATAACCCTGAACAAATGACTTAATTTCTCAGTCTCATCTCTTCTCATTTTTCTGGTGACCAATGACTAATTCATACCTATGTCACAGGTGAGGAGTAAATGAATTAATACATGTGAAGAAATAAAAATACATGCCAGCTATTGTTAATCATGAAATTTCCCCTGTGCTTCCCCAGGCAGGGGTAATTATATCTACTTCACTGGTACAATGCCTTATTCCTACAACTATCACAGTATTTATTAGATTGAAGAATATTAATTTCATTGATTCTAAGGCTTTCACATTTTCACATCTCAGGTCAGGGTGCATCTTAAAATCAAGTGTCTTAGGGGCGCCTGGGTGGCCTAGTTGGTCAGTTAAGCATCTGCCTTCAGCTCAGGTCGTGATCTCAGGGTCCTGGGATCAGGTCCCACATGGGGCTCCCTGCTCAGTGGGGAGCCTGCTTCTCTTCCCTTTGCCCCCCCACCCATACTCTTCCTCCTGCGCTTCTCTCTCTCAAATAAGTGAAATCTTAAAAAAGAAAATCAAGTGTCTTAGATTTTATGAAATGTATTCATTTTATCCAGTATCCTTCCTGGACTAAATACTGACTATAAACTATATATCCCCGCCCCCATTTCTCATCTCCTCTCTTCTGCCAGTACCTTGCTCACTGCCTGCCACATGGTAAGTAGGCACTAAGAAAGTATTTGTTGAATGAATAGATAATGGCAATGAAAGAGGCAAAGTTTACAACCACAAGAATGAAGGGTACCCTTGAAAAGTAGTCCAGTGCCGTAAGTGACCTTTGGCAGTCCGGGAAGCCATTTCAGAAAGAAGAATTTGCTCACTTAGACCTTGATTCCCACTTTATGGTACAGCAGTAGGAGACATTTCATCAAGAGTGTTTTTCATAAAATGATTTTTGGGAAGCTGCACTGACCATCAGATCTGAAACAAACCCAGTTCAGAGATGAAAATCACCGTAGGAGGGTGGGGGAGGGTGGGAAATTGTACAACCCTCATTTTGTGTCAGAAAACTCCCCCAGAGGGGGCGCCTGGGTGGCTCAGTCGGTTGGGTTGGGTGCCTGATTCTTGGTTTTGGCTCAGGTGATGATCTCAGGGTTGCAAGATCGAACCCCGAGTCTGGCTCTGCACTCAGCACAGTCTGTTTGTCCCTCTCCCTCTGCTCCTCTCCCTGCTCATACACTCTCTCTCAAATCTTTAAAAAACAAAAAAGCACCCCCAGAGGATTCCCTGTTGATGGCACCACTGTCCCAGTTGGCCTTGCCTGAGGTCTCAACACCCCCGGTGACTTCTCACCTCTACCCTCTTTAGTCGGTGGCCACATTTATCCTGCATTTGTTCTTGAATCCCTCCCCTTCCTCGTATTCCCACTACCATTTTTTCCTCTTACCTATCATAGCTTCCTCATTAGTCCCCTAGCTTCTAGGTCTTCGGCCCATTTTTGCACACTGCCACCAGTACTTTTTCTAAAAGCAGAGAGGCAGTCTTGTTACTCCCTTAAATCAAATACCTTTACTGATATAGCCGTCTGCTGAAGGAAATCCTCATTCCCTACTCTGGATTTCAGACTACCCAACCTGCCTTTGCAGTTCAAATCACCTTTCAGGTTATTGGGTTTGGTTTTTTTTTTTAAGATTTTATTTATTAGAGAGAAGGGGAGACACACACACATATATATACGTACATGAGTGGGGGGAGGGGCAGAGGGAGAAGCAGACTCCCCACTGAGCAAGGAGCCTGACAGGGAGCTCAATCCCAGGACCCCAGGATCATGACCTGAGCCACTCTGGCACCCCAGCTTTCAGTTTTTCACCTCTCACATGGAGCCAAGTCACTATATATTTTGCATATCTTGTGTTAAATATATCAAAATTACTTTCACCTATTTCTTACTGTTTCAATGTGGCTACTAGAAAGTTTAAAATTCTGTATGTGGCTTGCCTACTTCATTTGGACAGCACTGGTCTAGATCTTGCCTAAACTTCAATACCCAACTCAAATAACACCTGTTCTTCTATGAAGTGTTCTGTGACTTAACCAATGACTAAAATAATTTCATTATCCTATAACACTCTTATCTTCACCTCTCTTAAATCCCACATGCTACTTTCTCCCCCCGGGTTACAAATATTAATGTCTGTGTGAGTACAAGCTGTTAAGGATAGTATTTATTAAAAAATAAATAAATAAAACTCTTTCACTATATTGTGAACCAATAAAAAAGCAGTGGGGGAGGGGATTGAGGGTCGTACACCATATATTCACTATTAGGACCAAAAACCCCATTGTTGTCATAATACAAGCTACAGAAAGCGTGACAAAATCTTGAATGAAGTGAATGCAGCCATTTTCAACAGAGGATCTGTTCCTTGTAGGATGTATCAGAATCTCTGGAGGGACGTAAGCTTTTTAAGTTTATACAAAGGAATGTGTGTTTCAAAAGATGAAAATACTGCTCTGAGGGGCTTTCACAGTGGTCAGTGATGCTTACATCAGCATTAAACTGATGTGTCCTCTGAGCTGGAGTGGCAGAAATAAGTAAACCATACTCCCTTCTGAAAGCTCACAGTCTGTGGGAGAGACAGACAAAATTGTGTTTTCAACTTAGTGTTTATATCCCACTCTGTCTATAAAGAGATTGGGGGCACCTGGGCGGCTCAGTCGGTTAGGCGTCTGCGTTCAGCTCAGGTCATGATCCCAGAGTGCTGGATGGAGTCCCACATCCGGTCAGTAGCGAGCCTACTTCTCCCTCTGCCTGCAGCTCCCCCTGCTTGTGCGTGCTCTCTCTCTCAGTCTCTCTGACAAGCAAATAAGTAAAATCTTAAAAAAAAAAAAAAAAAAAAAAAACCTGATTCAGACTTAATCAGAAGTAACTCAAATGCAAGTGAAATAGTGACAACGCACAAAAAAGAAAATGAGGAATAGAGCTTTATAGATTTCATCCTGGTTGTGTGTGTTTTTAAGAAATCTCTATACCGGGGCGCCTGGGTGGCTCAGTGGGTTAAAGCCTCTGCCTTTGGCTCCGGTCATGATCCCAGGGTCCTGGGATCCTGGGATCCCGCATCGGGCTCTCTGCTCTGTGGGGAGCCTGCTTCCTCCTCTCTCTGCCTAGTTGTGATGTCTGTCTGCAAATAAATAAATAAAATCTTAAAAAAAAAAAATCTCTATACCCAGTGTAGGGCTCAAACTCACAACCTTGAGATGGAGAGTCATGTGCCCTACCAAACAGCCCGCCAAGTGTCCCTCATCCCAGTTTTACAAGTGGGAAGCTTTAGGCAGAGTTGGGACAGGTAGGACCGGAGGGGGGGGGGGCGGGGGGGGGGGGGGGGAGTACAGAGGGAGGGAGAGAAGGAACATCCCGCCTAGCCTCTGCCCCTCCTGCTCTCTCTACCCAAGCCTGATGCCATTAGGCGGGAAGTGCACTGGAATATCAGGGTCAGACAGACCAGCGCACTGAGCCTGTCTCATCTTTGAAAGCGCCAATACTTGACTCGGAAAATTAACGAGAGGACTGAGTGTCGGGGTGCTGCGCGCACTAGGGGTGCAGACAGCTTCCAGCCCCTAGCCCGGGCCTGCCGGAGCGCAGTGAAAACTAGATGGAGCAGGGAAGGGAGTAGCCGCCCAGGGGAGGAAGCCGTACATCCCCTGCGGGAGAGGAGCCTTCTGAGCGCCTGCAAGGCCACTAATCGGGTCATCGGTTCCTGCCCCGGGCTAACGGGCTGCACTTCTCGGGGTGCCCGGGGGGCCTACCCGGTATTGCTGCACCTCCTCGTCCCGCTTCTGCCTCACGAGCGTGATCTGGTCCTCCAGGTTCCTGTTCTGCAGCTGCAGCTGCCGGGCCTCTGCCTGCAGGGGTCTCAGGGCCTCCTTCATCTCCTGGATCTCCGCCTGGGTCTTCTGGAGGGCTTTGGCCGCTGCCTCCTTCCTCTCCAGGAGGCGCAGCAGCTGAGGCTCGTACTCCTCCTCCAGGCCCTGGCGGCTCTCCGCCATGAGGTTCTCAAACTGGGCAGAGAGCCGCCGGCTCTCCTGCAGAAAGTGCCCGTCGCTCTGGCTTGGCGGCGCTTCCAGCTGTTGCCGTAACTGCTCCTTCTGCTTCTGGTAGGCCTCGCGGAGCCCGGCCAGTTCCTCGGAGAGCTGGGCCACCCGGGCGGTCAGCGCCTCCCGCAGCTCCGCGAACTGGGCCACGTCCTGCCGGCGGCACTCCAGCTGGTACTGGTAGGCCACACACTCCTTGGTCACCTTGAAGAGCCTCTGCTTGACCAGCCGGATCTCCTCCCTCAGCCCGTCCCTCTCCAGCTCGGCTTGGGCGTGCCGCTTGTAGGCCGCCTGGATGTCCTCATGGACCTGCTGCACCTCCTGCAGGGCCGGTTCCCGGAGCAGCACCAGCTCGTGGATGAGCTGGTCCCGCTCCTCTTCCAGCTGGGCCACGGCTTGCACGCACTGCTGGAAACGCTGCTCCAGCAGTTCCAGGTCCTCTATGCTCAGGCTCTCGGTGCTGGGACTCAGCCCGGCGCTGAGGCCCTCCTCAGGGCTGGGTTTCTCCTTGCTCGTGACCGTCTCTCCCCCATCACCGGTCTGCTCTGGGCTTGCGCTCTTTTCCGGCTTCGAGGGCTCTTCCACATGGAGGATCTCCTCTGGCTTCACAGGCTCGTCCTCGTGCGGGGCCTCACCTGGCTGCCTGGTCTCCTCGATGTACAGGGTCTCCTCAGGCTGCTCCGTCTCTTCCACACACAGTATCTCGTCTAGCTCATCAAGGTCACCTGTGTCCCCCAGGTAGAGAATGTCCTCTAAGTTCAAGGTCCCCTTCAAAGACAGAGTCACTTCTGGGTCCAGAGTCCTGGCCTCATGGGGGGATTCCAAGCTCTCCTCTTCAAGAGGAGAAGTGGCTTCTGCTCTTGTCTCCCTGCAAGAGAAATGACTTAAAGTGAGAGGACAGCCACCATCCCAGGATGGTTGGCAACGGCAACCATTAGGGTTATATCCATATCCGGTTCCCACATCTCAGAGAGCACTTGTCTGCTCCCTCCCATCAGTCTGTCCCCCTCCACGCATAGTTCAGGTCCCCCGACAACACCACTGTGATGTCAGTGTTTAGACCTTCAAGGCCAAGAAACTCACACCTGAGCCACCACTATTTGTTCCACTGTCATAAGAAAATTCTGGTGCTGAAGTAAAACCTTCTCTGCGATTTTTTTTTTTAATTTATTTTAGGGGCGCCTTGCTGGTTTAGTCGGTTAAGCATGACCTGCCTTCAGCTCAGGTCATGATCCCAGGGTCCTGGGATTAAGCCCCCTTGTCAGGCTCCCTGCTCCCTCTGCCTGCTGCTCCCCCTGCTTGTGCTCTCTGTCAAATAAATGGTCTTTAGGAAAAAAAAAAAAAAGATTTATTTGTTTTAGAGAGATAGTGAAGATGGTGGGAGGAACAGAAGGAGGAGAGAGAAACTCAAGCAGACTCCATGCGGAGCCCAGAACCCAACTCGGGCTCGATCTCACAACCCTGAAGTCACACCCAAAGCAGAAACCAAGAGTCAAACATTTAACCAACTGCGCCACCCAGGCAATGCTTGTCTGCAATTTTTACCTAGGCTTGATTCCTCTTTCTAGAATCAGGACAAACCTACCTCCTTTCCCATATAAGTTCTTTAGACACCTAAAGAAAACGAACATCTTTTGATTATTCCATGCATGCCAAAATGTCCAGTGCCCTCCTCATTTGGGTCACTTCCTTTTGACTAGGCTCCAAATTGTCACTGTCCTTTGGGGATGGGTTTTGGAACCCATCAGCTCCCGGGTGTGTTCTGAGCAGTGAATCTCTGGACACTATACTCCTATTGCTAAAGGCCAGTATAGAACAGCTCTATCATATCGTTGGCAAATACTGAGTTTGACTAAAAGCCTTAAGAAGTCTTCACACACACATGGGGCGCCTGGGTGGCTCAGTCGTTAAGCGTCTGCCTTCGGCTCAGGTCCTGATCCCAGGGTCCTGGGATCGAGCCCCACGTCGGGCTCTCTGCTCAGCGGGGAGCCTGCTTCCTCCTCTCTCTCTGCCTGCCTCTCTGCCTGCTTGTGATCTCTGTCTGTCAAATAAATAAATAAAATAAAAAAAAAAAAAAAAAGAAGTCTTCACACACATGCACACACACACACGCACACACACACACGCACACAGACACACACACACACACACACACACACACACACACACAAACACATGACTTTTCCACACCAAGTGCTTTTAAATCACTCTCTTGTTCCTGTAAAACTTCATTCATCTTCTTGGGGCATCAGGGTGGCTCAGTCGGTTAGGCATCTGACTCTTGATTTTGGCTCAGGTCATGATCTCAGGGTTGTGGGATTGAGCCCCACCCCCGTCGGGCTCTTCTCTGGGCATGGAGCCTGCTTGAGATTGTCTCTCTCTCTCCCTCTGCCCCTTCTAACCTCCCCTGCACCCTCCCACCCCCACGCACTCCAAAACAAAACAGAACAAAATGAAACAAAATTTCATCTTGTTAGGATTGGCCTCTCCTCTGGTCTGTCAAAGATTCTTTTTTTTTTTTTTTTTTGACAGACACAGCGAGAGAGGGAACACAAGCACGGGGAGTGGGAGAGGGAGAAGCAGTCTCCCTGACAAGCAGGGAGCCCCATGTGGGGCTCAATTCCAGGACCTTGGGATCATGACCTAGGGTGGAAGGCAGTCGCCCAACAACTGAGCCACCCAGGCGCCCCCGTCAAAGACTCTTGAATTCAGATTCTGTGATTCTGGCTGAGAAGCTCCTTAACCCAGCTGTCGGCTCCCTGCTAGCTTAACCAGTGCCTCTTACGGAATAGCCTCCTGTTTCTTTGGCCTTCAGATGGCTTTGGTCCTTCCTGTTTCAACTGCATTTTACCTACCTTGGATCTCTAAGCAATTTTTTGAAAATATAAAATACCATGGAAATAACAACAATAAATGACACTTATGAAGGTCTTACATGTGCCAGGCTGTGTTCTGAATGGTTTATGTTTATCAACTCAGTTAATCCTCATAACATTTGTATGAGGTAATTGTATTTATTTTCCCCATTTTACAGATCGGGAAAATGAAGTTTAAAGAGATTAAGTAGTTTGCTCAAGGGAACTCAGATACCCCATGGGCACCAGTTAGAAGACAGTCTAAATTTGAGTATAGTTTTCAAGAAAGCTACCTTAGCTATAATGTATAAATGAAAAGCCCCTGTATCAAATAATTTCTCTGTCTTGGGGCGCCTGGGTGGCTTAGTGGGTTAAAGCCTCTGCCTTCGGCTCAGGTCATGATCCCAGGGTCCTGGGATTGAGCCCTGCATCGGGCTCTCTGCTCAGCAGGGAGCCTGCTTCCTCCCTTCTCTCTCTCTGCCTACTTGTGATCTGTCTGTCAAATAAATAAAATCTTTTAAAAAATAATAATAATTTCTCTGTCTTGAAAAAGCCTACTTGTGGGGTGTCTAAGTGGCTCAGTCAGTTAAGCATCTGCCTTTGGCTCAGGTCATGATCCTGAGGTCCTGGGATCGAGTCCCAAATTGGGCTCCTTACTCAACAGAGAGCCTGCTTCTCCCTCTGCCTACTGCTCCCCCTGCTTGTGCGTGCTCTCTCTTTCTGACAAATAAATACTAAAATCTTTAAAGATTACTTAAAAATAAAATCTTAAAATAAAAGACAAGCCTACTTATGTCCAGGTTTTAAGCTCTATATCTTAGCTCCAAGTTCCCACTACAGATTATTTTTATTCTAAGATTTGATCTATTTATTTTGAGAGAGAGAGAGAGAGCGCATTGGGCAAGTAGGGAGAGGAACAGAGGCAGAGGGAGAGAGAGAGTCTCAAGCAGAATCCACGCTGAGCACAGAGACCGACGCGGGGCTCGATCTCACAACCATGAGATCATGACCTGAGCTGAAATCAAGAGTCAGATGCTTAACCAACTACACCACCCAGGCGCCCCCAGATTTCTTCTAAATCGTTGTGTATTCTGTCCTCCTCTCTAGCACCCCAGGAATCCTTGTCTTCCCATTCTGTGTCTCATGGTGGTCCTTGGGAAACCACCAGTGTGGCTTCACCAGGCCCCCGACGTCACTGGCCTCCCAGAACCCAGCACCTGCACTGAAACCTAAAGCTTGGAGACAGCCCCAAGCGTCACCTGGTTTGTCCCCATCACTCAGGGTGTTGTTTAGATCTCTTCACCTGGTGTCACCTGGTATCTCAAGCTTCCCAGCTCCCCGGGCTCGCTACCCCCGTGTTCTCCAGCGCAGAGAAGCGCAGCCTCATACAGCAGGTGGGTGAGGCAAAGAATCCTTAAGCAGGGTGCCTGGGTGGCTCAGTGAGTTAAGCCTCTGCCTTCGGCTCAGGTCATGATCTCAGGGTTCTGGGATCGAGTCCCGCATCGGGCTCTCTGCTCAGCAGGGAGCCCGCTTCCCCTCTCTCTCTGCCTGTCTCTCTGCCTACTTGTGATCTCTCTCTCTCTGTCAAATAAATAAATAAAATCTTAAAAAAAAAAAAGAATCCTTAAGCAGCTCTTTCCCTCCCTCACAGAGCCAACTCACTGAGAACTAACTGATCTCAGAAAGTCTCCAGTCTCTGTCCCCTCCTCATCCCCTTGCCAGGGCCCTACTCCAAGTCATCCCCTCGCATGCTGGCACTCCCATGCCCACCTTCCAACGGGCTTTCTTCCTTCTCACGCCAATCCATTCTCTACAGTGCCACAGCTTGCTCGAACATAGCCTTGCCGCCCCACTTCACGCACACACAACCCACTGCCCAGCATCGATTCAAAGCCCTTAACGATGTGGCCCCAACATACCTTCACAGCCTCAACTCACTCTACTCCCCACCGCCCACCCCGTGCTTGACAATCCAGAATATGCACTAACACTTTCACACCTCCTACTCCTAGCCCACTGTGTCTAACAGATCCAGCTGAGAAAATACAGCGTGTTGTACATCATCTGATTAGCGAACAGTCCTGTGCTACCTGGAAAGGTAACGCTCCTAGGTGCCCGGAATGCTGCACCTGCTCAGCCAGCCAGCCCCCCATTCGATCCTCAGAAGAGCCCCCACTTTCCTAGCAGACGGCCCCCGCATGCTCGTGCTGAGTGATCTCCCCTGGAATGATGGAACGGCGCTCAAGGCAGGATTCCAAGTCTTTCACACAAATAGTCATGTATGTGATGCTCATCTTTTACCTCCATTTTGTACATGAGGAAACCGAAGCCCCAAGCAAAGAACTCACTCAAAGTTCCACCACTTGTGAGTGAGTGGCAGAGCCTGGAAAAGATGGCATCCAGCTCCAAGGCTGGACGGAGCTCCCGTTGACTCCTCTGTTCCCAGAACAGGCACGAGTTCTAAAACAGATGCAACAGGGGTGCCTGGGTGGCTCAGTCCTTAAGCATCTGCTTTGGCTCATGTCATGATCCCAGGGTCCTGGGACTGAGCCACGCATCTGGCTCCCTGCTCAGCAAGAAGCCTACTTCTCCTTCTCCCACTTTCCCTGCTTGTGTTCCCTCTCTCGCTGTGTCTCTCTCTGTCAAATAAATAAATAAAATATTTAAAACAAAACAAAACAAAACAGGTGCAACCGCTACAGCAGGTCTAATGGAGCTTACCGATCAAAATAGACTTATTTACCTGCTCATATGTGTCTACTCGTCCTTGGAGCCCTGCTCAAACTGCGTCTCTCCTGCGAAGTATTTCGCAGACAAGCCATTATCCCGTTCTCAAGGCCCTCTGTGTGCAGCTCATCTTTGCACCTAATGCTCTGTGTTATAGCAGTGAGTGTGGCGTGTCCCCTGAGAGTCTATTTCCTAAGGACAAGTAGTTTTCATTCCCTGTAGACCCCAGGGTGGGGCTCTGTAGAGGGAAGGCAGGCAGAAGCCCGCTGGGATCCAAAGAGGAAACTTGCCCAAGGTCAAGTGGCCTGGTGGGACATGGAACCCCGTCTCCCTGACTCCTAGGCAGCACTGTTACCCCATGCACTGTGGTTGCCTCCCTCACCCCCCCACCCCAGCGCCTGGCCGCTGCTAGATGCTGCCCTCACTCAGCTAGCTGCCTCTCTCTAAGGAGCTGGGGAAAAGGAGAGAGTATGGGCGGAGGCTTAAGGCCTGAGGAGCCCACTCAGCTCTTGACCTCAGGCTTCCTTAGACCCCAAGCAGCCTGCCCCTGCCAGCCCCTGTGGGTCCTAGAGAACTCCAAAGGCTCCCAGCTCTGCATCAGTGCCGTGGCCAGGAGTGTCTGTGGCACAGTGCGGGCAGGAGTTGGTGTGTATCTGCCTGTGTGTGAACCTGAATGTGTACACGGCAATACAGGTGATTGTATGGGTAAAACCACACTCCGCTGAGTGCTGTGTGGGACACTGAAGGAGGGCACGGCGTGTGTATTTGGACCTCTACCTTCTCAGGGCTATAGTTGGACCTGGGGCAGAAATCCTCCATACTGGCCCCAAATCCCTGAGCCACACAGGCCCTTTCCCCCTGAGCAGTGGTTATGGGGCAGTGTGGATGACTGGGGGAGGGCCTCCCCTCCAGGGCCCCCAGGCCGCTGCCAGGACCCCCCTACTGGTCTGGGAGGGGCGACCCTCCCCACCCCGACCTCACCCCCATCCCAGGCCTCAAACAGGAGAGAGGGAGCCGCCAGAACAGACTCCTAACTCCCAGCTGGCAGCCGCCCAGCCTTGCACCAAGTCCCTTCCACACAGCGAATTCAGCAACCGGAGGCCTCCATCTCCAGTTGCATTTGGGGTGAGGTATCAAGGAAAGCGGGGAGCGAGCGTCCTCGGCCAGTCTGGCCCAGTGGCATTTGATGGTTGATGCCCACCAGTCCGAAAGGGTTTCTTCTCACCCAGCCCCAGGAGGAGCAGTGGGCACTATAAAAAGCCACGGACAAACGAAGGTGCGGGGACCCCGGGCCTCCCCGGTCTCCCCTCGGCCGGTGGCTCCGCCCGATGCCAGGGCCACACCCCGGCTGGCCCACCTCCCCCAGCCAGGACAGAAGGTGCTAGCGGGGGGGGGGGTGGGGGTGGGGGTGGGGGTGGGGGGCTCATCCAGCGCCCCCTCCCCACGGGACGGCCACGCGGGCCCTGCACTGTCCTACCTCGCGGCCTGGGCTGCGCCGTCCCCGCCGTGCCGGGGCTCCGGGCTTGCCATGGCTGCGCGACCCGGAGCTGGGCGGCCGCGTTATTAATAGCCCGCCCCGCGGGCCGCTTGCTCCGCGCCCGCGCCCGCCGCACTGGCAGCTGCAGCCGACACCGGATCCCGCCCGCCCCGGGCCGGGCGCGCCCACTTGGCCCCAGCTCCCCGCCCGCGGGAGGAGCGTGCAGGTCGTGCGGCCTGGGGCGGGGGTGGGGGGTGGCCGATCGGCGTCTCCCAAACCGGCCGGCCCCGAGATCTTCCCGAACCTTCTTTCTCTCACCCTTTCTTTCCAAGAGTCCAGTTGCGGGGGCGGGGGGGTAGGGTGGCTCTGCGGCCCCCGGAGAGCACTTCCCCCGCCCGGCCAGCGGGGGCAGGACTCGGGAGCTGGGGGGCTGAGAGGCATCCAGCACTCCAGCGCGCTCAGGTCGGCGCCCTGCGATCCCCACCCACGCGGGTGGGGGTGTTTATGCGGGGAGAGGCCGGAGCGCCCTGTCCCCCGCAGCTGTCCTAAGGGCTGGGGGGGCGGGGTCACGGCCACACCCCGTGCGTTTGGGGACAGTCGGAAGCCTGTTGCCGGAGCTGGGGAAGGGCTATGGGTTTAAGCCTATAAGGTCGAGTCCAGATTTAACACCGAGGGCCACCCCCATGCTGCGAGATTTCCTGGAGTCTCTCCTCCTGCGCCACCTGTCACCCCGACCCAGCCCTGCTTTTGTCCCCTCCAAGGCATGCCCCCTCCCCCAAGGCCTTAGCCCATTAGAGTCTGGGTCAAATTTCAACACTGATGTCTTTCTCCCTAAGCCAGAAGCTGCCGGCCCCATCCCAGACCTGGGCCTCGGGCATTCTCCTTCTGATGCCTTTTTCCACTTAACCCCTCTGTCTGGGGAGGTCTTTGACTCAATCACAGAAGAATGCTCTCTCTCGGCACTGTAAAAAGCGAGGGGCTAGATGTGTGTTTAATCAGAGAGGCCTTGAGTACCAGAGGCTGGTGGGGGAGAGGTGGAAGGGAGGGAGTGGGGTGGTGGGAGGCAGTGGTGCCGCTGTGTTGAGCTTATGTGGGTTGTGTGTTGCGATCAGTGTGCCCACTGGAGGCTGTGTGAACACTACATGGGTGTGTGTGTGTGTGTGTAGGGGGAGAATGTGAGACTGCATGCCTGTGTGTAACTCTGGGACAACGGGGGTGGGGGTACTGTCTGTGTGTGGTTGTGTGCTTGTATAATCTAGGGGCTAGAGAGTGGTTATTATGTGTGGTGATGGGTGGTTGTGGACTATGTATGGGCCTGCGTGTAACCGTGTGCCTGTGAGGGACCAGGGCTCCCGCCTGTGATACGGGAGTGGGTGCTCACAAGCCCACGCCTGGATGGTCCTCTGTGACTGGGGTCTGCACACGGCAGCATCAGTCAGTGTGTCTGAGTGTGCCGCCTGGGGCTGTGTATTTATATCTCTCTGTTTAATGCTGGGGCTGGGAGATTAACACCCAGTGTAGCCAAGTACACCCTTGTAAGGCATGCAGGAGAAAAAGCTGGGTTTTAAGGAGGCGGCTGGTCATTTTCTGACTTATCCCTAAAATATTCCAGGGGAGGAGGTTGGCAAAGCCTCAGCTGCTGGTCGTTTGACAGCTGCTGCCAGTCAGAGCTGCTAAGGGAGAAAGGGCAAGCCTGCCAGCAGCACTGTTTGCTGTGGGTGCTAGGCAACAGGAGGCAAGGGTGGCATTGAGAAGGGCTATCCCTTCCCCTTCCACCCACCCCAGCCCAGGAGCTGGCCACTGGGCTGTCCCCAAGACCAATCCCTCACCCCCTTTGACCTCCCCTGAGGCCTCCTTTAAGCTGCAACTCGGAATCTCCCAGGGTCCCAAAAGCGCTTGTGCCTCCACACCTTAGTTTTCGCTCTTCCCTCTGCTTGGAATACCCTTTCCAGCATTTCGCATCCCAGTTGCTACCCTTTCTGGGTCTCAGCTGACGTGGCATCTCCTCAGAAAACCTTTCCCTCATGTCCCCTGCCCCGGGCATAAATGTCCATCCATGTACTGTTTATTTTTGGGACAGCACTTATCATGGTCTGCGATCACACAGTTGGTCTTCCATTCCCTCCTAGTCTGCTGTCCCCACTAGAATGAGGCCCTGTGAGAGCAGGGACTTGGCGTGTCTTGTTCACTGCTGTGTCCCCAGCGCCCTGCACAGGGCCTGGCACATAATTGGATCTCAGATAGATAAATAAATTAACTAAATAAGTAAGTAAATAAATAAATAAAGGTTATTGAATGAATGAGAGAAAGAAGAACGGTCCTAACTAGGCCAATCGTCACAACATCTGAGGCCCACTTTGCGCCAAGCCTGCCCTGCTCGTCACCACCACCACAGAGCCCCCGTGTACTTGGGGAAATAGGTATTCACATGTGCTCAGATCGTGTCTACCGAGGCAGAGTGAGGTGGGTGAGGACACGACTCCGTTCCCTTGGCAAACAGTGGCCCTCGGCCTGTGCAAGGCCCACGTCGGGTGATTAGCCCTATTTGGCCCAGGCTGCTGTTTGCAAAGAGCTCACAGTGTAGAGGAGGCAAGAACTGTTGTCGGGGAGACAATCGCTCGCAGAGAATAATGCTCAGTCAGGAGCTGAGCAATGTAGACAGTGCGAACTGGGGAAGCCAGGGATGGGAGAGATGAACTCCAGGATAGGGACACCCTCACAGACAAGGGAACCTGGACCCGGAAGGAGGCGGAAGGGTGAGGTGTTCGTCCTAAGGCCAGCATAGCCACTCTCTCTCTCGGGCGCCTCCACAAAGCCACGTCCAGAAGAGCAGAGCAGGCCCTGGGCTGGCTGTTCTTTGCCGGACCTCCACTCTCCATGCTTCTCTGCTCTGCTGCCCGAGCTGAGGCTAACCCCTGCCAAGAGTCTCATCTGGGCCCCTTGCCTTATAGTTTCCAGTAGGGTCTGGCCAATAGAAGACCCTGACAGGAGATCAGCGTGAAGGAGCGGAGTTAGACTGAGTTATTTCTACCACCCGCCTCCCCCTGTGATGCTGGCAGTTACTAGGTTCCTCCACGGAAAGCCATAGCCCTTGTAGGACGCCTGCACCCATGGGTCCAACTCCCTCCAGGTTCATTAACAAGGTTCCCTACCCTGGCCGTTCAGGTCCCTGGGGCCATGATTCCATTCCACTATTGTGAGCCCCAGGGTGCTTCACTGCTCCTGCCACACCTCTGTGAATAGTTCCTTCATTAAACCATCTCCTGGATCATGCTTTGTGTTCCCTCTTTCCTGCTGAGATCCCTAAGGTTAAGAACTAAACCAAGGTGGGGGGGTGCCTGGGTGGCTCAGTCATTAAGTGTCTGCCTTCAGCTCAGGTCATGATCCCAGGGTCCAGGCTCCCTACTCAGCGGGGAGCTTGCTTCTCCCTCTCCCACTGCCCCTGCTTGTGTTCCAGCTCTCACTGTCTCTGTGAAATAAATAAATAGAATCTTAAAAAAAAAAAAAAAAAGAACTAAACCATGGGAAAATGAGCCCTTGGCAGAGAATTCAGGAAGAACTTTTTTCTAAATTGACACCAAAATCAAAATTGGAAAAGTTGTGAACTGATCGAAATCCCATCCTTGATGAACAGCACCCTCCTGGCCACCACTCGGGCAGGAACCCAACCCAAGAGGTTCCTCTTAGCTCCCCTTACTCAAGCTTCTGCCTGTAGTTACCTTGGCCAAGAGAAGGGGGCAGGGAGGGGGCTGAGCAGGGAGGAATGCCAGGGATGACTGGCAGAGGGATGATTTTGGAAGTAGAGAGGGCTGCACAGCGAGGGGAGCCTCAGGAGCAGCCTCTGTCTTATTCCAGAGCATTCCCTGTGAGACCTTGGGAAGCCAACCTCCCGGATCCTCAGTTCCCTGTCCATGAAGTGGGCAATTAACACCCTCTTCACAGGATTGTTGTGAAAAGCAATCAAATGTGAGGTTCAGCACATGAGTGAGTTGAGTGAACTTGCTCCAAACGCTGAGTGTAGCACATTCCTCATTATTATGGTGCAGGTAGAGGCCATTGTGCTGCGTTTCTGTGTGCCAAGAGCTCCCATCTAGAGGCGGAAGGAGGATAGGAAGAGCCCGCTGCTTCAAGGGAGCCAGGGTACAAATCCAAGCTAAAACTCCCTCTGCGATTAGTCACCTTGTGACCTTAGGGAGGGCACTCTACCTCATTGTTTTCAGTAAAATCAGATGACACTTTTAACCTCCTAGGTTTGTGGTGAGGATGAACTGGGAACATAGAAAGCATTGTCAAGTACCTGATGCATTCTAAAAGATAATTTATTTATCCATCTATTTACTTATTTATGAATGAGAGGGAGCGAGCACACAAGCTGGGGGAGCAGCAGGCTCCCCACTGAGCAGGGAGCCCGATGTGGGACTCGATCCCAGGACCCTGAGACCATGATCTGAGCCGAAGGCAGACACCCAACAACTGAGCCACCCAGGCATCCCCGAGGCTTATCTTATAGTCTAGTGAGTGTCTGGTGGCCTTTTCCTCCTCACACCTACCCAGGAGGGGCCCAGGCATGGTGCAGACTTGGGTTCAAATCCAGTTCTGCATGGCTGGGCTGTTTTAACTTCTCTGAACCTCAGCTTCCACCGCTGGGAAATGAGGATGAGTGGGTGTCCCACGAGAAAATGCAGAGGGAATGCCCAGCACCTTGCCCAGTATACAAGAGTGGTTTAATAAATGTTCTCCTCTTTATTTCCTCCTCCCTCCCTGCCTGCCATGGCCGCTGTCTGGGGGTTTTTGGCCCGCAGGGGTGCTAAGCGCCCGCGGAGGACCCAGCGTTGGGCGGTCGGGTTCTTGAGGCAATTCCGACAGATGCCTCCAGGGGGCGCCACCACACAGACCCCGCTCCTGGGGGGTGGCTGTTCCCACCGTCGCCTCGCGGGGCCGCTTGGGCCCGGAGTTCTGGGGGAGGAAGGCACACGGGCGGCAGGGACGTCTGAACCCCAGCTGGACCAACGATGTCTTCAGCATCACAGTCATAATTAGTAATAAACAGTAA